GATACACGTCAAATAAACAGAGCTTTAAATTATATAATCTGCAAAAAAAATCTCCTTGATCCATTCTAAACTGAGAAGTAATAAAGTTTAGTTAATCTAAGTTAAAAAAAACCCCACAGTTCTCAAAGGCTTTCTGGAAAATGTTTCTGATATAACTAAGTATACAAATGTATATACTTAAGTATATTTCATATGTTTTAATATGATATATACTTATTTGTAATGTAGATTATAATTTCCTTTCATATATGCGTGTGCTTATACACACAGAGAAATGTGTATATATAAGGAAATTGCTTCCTACACTGTTTCACTGATCAAAGTTTACCCTTTTTATAGTAAGGCAATATTTCTTACAGTCCATTAAAAAGAAATTACTTTTTCAATAAACCATAGTCTTAATCATAGACAGAGCTAAACAGCCTCCTCCATTATTTCCAGTAGGCACCAAGATATCTTTCACAGTAGAATGAAAGCCAAGCACTCTTCCCCTATGTGTATAAAGAATTTAAGTTTCAAAATCCATATAACTCAGATTTTGTACAATAAGTGCCCATGTGGTGACCATGATATAGACCCAGTACCTCAATTTGTCTTCAGGGCAATGTATAAAGTGTAGCTTCAAGGCAGTATCTTGGAATGTCAAACAAGGAGCCTAAAGAAAAAATGTCATCCTCCCTTTAGTAAGGAAGATAAATCCTCTGTTAATAAAGAGATACATTTTAGAGAGAGTCTTCAAACAGGAATAAGTTCTGGAAACAAACAGGAATAAGAAAAATACTGACTCTCCCTTGAGGAATTAAAATGTAAGGCCTAATTCCCCCAAACAGATGACATTGAAGTCATTAAATCATTTCAAAAATTAAGAACAAGTTTCCCTTAATGTAAATACTGATTGCAACAGCCACCAAAAGCACCATGAAGGCAGAAACAGTCTTTCCGTAGCTGCTACTTTTGAATCATAAAGTTTGACATGTAAAAATATGCTTCCAACTTAAATGAATGTACATGTCCTTTTCACCAATGGCTTCTATAAATCACCTCTTCTCTAATCCATATAAATCTAGAGTAAAGGGAAAGATTTGGATAGACAGTACATTAGTATGGTGCCTCTAGCTATCCTTAGCCTTTCAACCAAAGAATGATTAAAAGCACAACAAAGATATCAACTCTTTTTTAACATTAAATGGCCTCAATCCTAGAATATCATTAATTTAAAAAATATTAAAAGTGAATGAATGTTTCATCCTTTAAATCAAATGCATCATTTTAGCAAAAATTTGCTCAATCAAACCATAAAATAACAATTAAAATAATTATTTATTTATTCAGCCAAAATTTCTTCACCTCCATTTCCCTCTTTCTACCTCCCCCCATTAGTACATGAACACTTCAAGTTGGTTAGGAAGCTTCCATCATGTATATTTCTTATTAAGTAGTTGATATAGGTATGCTTATTAAAAGTAAAATCTCTGTAGATTCATAAAAACACATGTGGTAGTTAACTATAAAGAAATTTAACAACAAAAACTTCATATTTGGAGAGATTGGAAGACATGAATTGGAAGGCAAAACATTTCTCTTTGCAACTGCATAAATATCTGGCACTAATCCTAATGGTTGTGTGTTAATGTAAATGCTAAACAGTAAGTTCAACTTTGATCCCAGTCATCTATAAAATTATACAATATGTGCATTCCTTTGTAAAATAACAACATTGCCCTTTTAATGCCTTTATAAATAATTTCATCATTTTCCAGATAGAAAACTAACCAGCAGGGCATACCCCTATCCTAAAACAAACTAAAATACTATCAACCTTCTTATTTTTTGCTTCAGTAGGAAGAAACAAGAACAGTAAGTAGTTCAGCACTAAGTATTTGTTAGATATGAGTTCCATAGGATAAGAAAACTTTACAAATCTGCTTTAAGAATTCCCATTCTAAATTCAATACACTGAGAGAAAGGTCATGAAGATTTGTTTTTATGTTTATGGTATCATTTAGCTAACTGGAAATTCATACCATCTTCCATACTTCTAATAAACAATAGTTTCTTTATCTTACTCCTAGTCCTACAAATACAACCAAAAACAAAATGCTGATCTCTAGCTCCTCACATTTAACAGACCGGAAATCTAACATGTGCAAATTTTGTCATATAAACATAATGTGACACCCTTTCATACTTCCTGATTAGATAAACCAACAGTCTTGTCAAATATGGTTAACTCCTATGCATCATTTACAAGATAAAGTAGAATGCCATACTGTAAACAACCACTCATCATGTATATATTTACCTAGAAAATTGTAATTAAGTCTTTTCAATGAGTTAACAATTTTTTTATTCCACAGAAATGCCATGCAATCTAATTAACACCCTTGATATCAAACATCATTGAAACTCCCCTTTAATCTTTTCAAGAAGGAAAGAAAATGATATTTTTTTGATTTTGGAGCATTCAAACATTTGTTGCTTTTTTGCAAGGGTAACAGTGCAATATGTCACTATCAGTATGTCATTATCATCTGCCCTGTGGTTGTTTTTAAAAAGTCCTTTACCAAACCAAGCTACCCACAAAATTTAAAGTAGCTACTTGAACTTTAAAAAAAATTGATCTCCATACCTAATTTTTGAGAAGTGAGTGAAAAACTAAGTTTTCACAGGCATTTTCTTTAGATAGTATTACTGTAATTAATGTTTCAAAAAAAACCCTCAGGAAAAATAAATGCCTGGATTCAAAGTCAAAGTTTCATGTTTTTCTATGAAAGTGATCAACAATAAGAGAATCTCAAGTTGTCCACATGTAAAAAGCTGATTGTTTGCTTGCAATCCAGTTTATCTAAGCACAAACTTGAAAATTCAGTTATATCCATGAGATAATTAAGGAACTGTCCTTTTGTCCTTGTAACCAAAAGGTGGCACTTTGAAAGATTAGAGGAAGCTCTGAATAGGGAGATAGCATAGAAAAACCAAATATTTTAAAATGCCAAATTACAGGAAATTGAGTCTCCTATAACAGGAGTCATTTCTGCATGAAAACGATGGGCAAACATCCAATAGAGAGGAATCTACATCCAATAGAGAGGAATATGTTAGATAACAACAGAAAAGATAGTGATAGCAAATTAAATCAGTTAATCCCCCAATCACTACATTACAATACTGAGCACTAGAGTCTTGGCAGTTGTAAAGTCATCACACATGGGTACCCAAAGTGATCTTCAAATGAAAGATAATATTTAGAGATCATGCTTCCTAGTAGCTACTAAATAACATAAGGTCACTAAGGAAAGGAAATTCCCTTTTTCATCTCATAAATGGAAGTTGGGTAAAGAAAATGAGACTTGACAGTTTGTGTCTCCTCCTCCCATACAACCCCCCCCCCCCCACACCAATCAAAGGAAAAGATTTATTTGGAAATGAACATCTGCCTGCTTTTCTGTGCTCATTTAGGACTTTGCTTGGAAAGCTTTCCAGATACCTAGAGACTTCTCCCTACCATTTCCCATCTGACAGAAATCACTCAGCTGGGTCTGATGAATAATGGTTAAAAGCAGCTTGTATCAGTGATGATTGAATTACAGACTGTTGAAACTGCCATTGAGGCTTTTCCTAATAAGAATGTTTAATTTCCCTACTACAGACTCAGCAAGGAGTGGAGTTGTTTTGATATCTTTATCATTCTTATAGCAAGAAAGAAGAAAAGAATAGGTATTTTCCTTGTGTGGAATTAACATTTTGGCTACTTTCAAGCATTACTCCCTAAACTTTGTGACAATACAGGAAGAGCCTTAGCAGCTGCAGCCTTCATGTGGCTCCTCAAGGAAGTGCTGAAACTGAGCAAATACATTGAATACAGACATTAAGAATTTGGTTGAGTTATTAAAAGAAAATGAAGAAGCTACCTAGACCAGAGAGGGGAAAATGGACAGCAGGAAGGTAGAAAAGAATTAAGAAAAATCAACTTTCAATGGTAGGCTGGATGACGATGCAAAAAGCTTCTTTTTGATATCTCAAAAAGGGTTATTTTAGAAAGTATGATTTCTCCACCTTGATCAAAAGAAAGATGAGTCTTGCACAGTTGAAGATTGACTCTCCTGCTAATAATGGTTTCAGGAGGACGGTTGTAATTTAACTTTATGTGTGAGGATTCCCCTACCCCTCACATGGAAAAGTAACAGCAATGAACCCCCAAGGAAAGTAGTCATTTCTGTTTTTACTAATCCCCAAACCTTGAAAGTTGTTGAGGCACTACTACTACCGTGTACTGTCAAACTGTTAGCTATACAGGGCAGCTGGAAGCAGGGTAAGTCAGATGGTTGACACTAAAAATCAACAGCAATTAAGCAATCCCTATCCCCCCCACCCCGGACCCCCGTCATCCCCCCCCCAACACTTCGGTTCGATCTAAACAAGTCAAGGGAGAGACAGGTCTACTTGCGAGTTGGGGGAGGTGGGGGAAGGATGTCAAAGGGATGCTTTTTCTATCTGGGAGCCTGACGGCGTGTAGATTCATTGCAAGCAGTTTTACTACCGTTGGTACTCTCCATTTAACACAGGCTATACTTTTTATTGCATTTTTTGCGTGGGGAGAATGAATTTTTTTTTCTTTCCTACACTTCTCATTTTTCCTTTAACAGAAAGCAATTCTCTCCTGGATGAGAAAGAAACCCTGCACAGGCAGAGCAAAGGAGGAGGAAAGAGAGAAGGAGGGATTGGGAAGGGAGGGGGCCAGAGGAGAGAGAGCAAGAGAGAAGATGGGGTATGCCCAACATCAACTCCAGGCTTTTAAATAACTGGCGCTGTACAAAGTGCTTCCCCCTCAGCAGCACATGTGTTCTTATTATCTTCCTCACAATAGGCCACCCGGGTGTTTCTCACTGTGTCTTCATCTTCCACTACCCAAACCCAAGTGCACAGAGAAGAAAACATTGCAGACAGATCCAAGCTAATAACAAGCAGTGGCAGCCGCACCACCAACAATCTCGCCTTACCTGGGAAGAGAAATTGGAGGAGGTGGTACTGGGTCTCTGTCCTTCAGGGCTCTCCCCTCGGTGACTAGTAGGAAATACACACGCTTTCCTCTCCCTGCTTTCAGCTCTTTGGAGGAGAGCCTGCAACACAAAAGGGGTGTGTGGGTGTGGGTGTGTGGGAGGTCTTCCAGGGCCACCAGCAGTCCCAGCTGGCCGCCCCCGCCCTACACACACACACCCCGATGGGGTCTGAGCCCCCCTCAGCGCAACAACGCCCAGGGGGCTCGCCCAGGGGTTCAGGTGCAAGTTGCCGCTGCTTCTGCTCCTGCTGCTACCGCTGCAGAAGGAAGAGCTGGAAAGACACTGGGGCCAGTGCACGGGCTAGAGCATCCCCACACTGCAGCTTCTCCAGGAATCCCTCCAGTGAGGAGGAGGCAGCCCATCATCCCCCAGCCCCGCCTGTCTGATTGGCTGGCTTGCGGGTACGCTGCCCCGGAGAGCCAATCAGGCAGCACCAATAATAGGTGGATCCGTTCAGCCAACATTGCCCATCCCAGTACTGTTAGTGTCTCTCCATCCCTACAGCGGACGGGGGACCTAGGAAGAGGGGTGGGGGGGTGGGGGGTGAAGGGGACGTGGGGAGAGCTGGAACTGGGGGAGGGGGGAGGAAGAGGAGGAGGCTTCATAGGAATGACAATCAAGGACACCAAATAAGTCCTTTGAGAAGACAGAAGGGAGACCCTCAACCTGTTCTGCAAGCTCCACTCACAGCAGAGACAGCGTAATACAAAGCTCTTTTTTTACACTTTCCATCAAAACCTTCTCAGAGACTGAGCATGCCCAGTCTGCTACAGCCCCCTGCCCCTCAAGAGTTTGTGTGTGCATTCCGCTCTTTTAGGGCTTTGGAAAGGGGAGAAGGGAAGGGGGAAAGGAAAAGGAAGCAGAACTTCTACTTGGGCATTTTACCTGACAGAGGGAAGCCAAGCAGGACGAGAAGAGGAGGGCAGGCGGGAAGATGAAAGCAACGAGGACTCCGGCTCCCCACGGAGCCAGAGGGGAGGAAGGGGCACTCTCTCTCTCTCTCTCACTGGTTGCCGGTCCCGGCAGGAGTGTCCAGCTAGGGAAGGACAAACGATCTGGGCCTGCTTGGTGTGGGGAGTGGGGTAGCGAAATCCACCCAGTGGGGTGATTACAAGCCGCCGCTAGTAAGGGGTGCGGTAGGTGCAGAGGAAGCCAGCTCCCATAGGTGGGGCAGAGAGCGAGCTCCACCCACTCCCAGCTCAGGGCTTTAGGCGAACCCTGGGTACATCACGAGTTTCCAAGACAGAAACTGGCAAGTTTGGGGATACAGTGTAAGTGCGGCCGTGCTTAGGAGATGCTTTCCTAACAGCTTCCGCCACTCCTGCAATCTTTGTTTCTTTCCCTATCTGTGTCAACCTGCGCTTGGGGTTTGCCGCCCCTGTGATCACGAAAGCCCAACTGTGGCCTCTTTCCATGCTTCCTTGGTCGTTAAGTAAGAAGCTTTTTTTGCCTTTCACGTAGGGTGGTGACCTGATTGTTTCTAAGCTCTCAGGCAATTTATAGCGCAGTAATTCGGGGTAATATCAGGCAGGGAGGTCTAGAGAGCGGGGGATGGGGATCCGTGAGGGAAGCAGGAACTACACAAGTTAAAAAAAAAAAAAAGCACAAAAGCACAACCCTTTAATTCCCTCTACAGGTGAAAAGCTTTCAAAATGCAAAAAGGTACTTGGCTTTCTTCCCCTCCTGACCCTGGCTAATGGTTTCTGAACGCCTTATTTGTTATGCTCGGGAATCCTAGCAATTTGTGTAAACCTGATCAATAGCTGCAAATGAGAAGCCTTCTAATTGGCTTCTTTATTTTACTGAGAAGATTATCCTGACGCTTCAGGTAAGGCAATAAATAGCTATCGCAATTCCCCAAACCCATCCACTTTGAACTGGAGCTTTTATTAACATTGGTTTGCAAAATGTAACTATAGTAAGGATTCAATTAACAGTAACACATTTCTGCAACTTTTAATTAAATGTCTTCTTTTTGCCTATGTTTAATATAAAGATCCTGGCTCCGTTTATGAAGGGGAAAAGAAGACAACCCTGGATGTATATTTATCCTTTTAAGTGACAAATTCCTAAATTTCTGGGAGTTCTGAAAGTTATAACATCCTAGTATCCCAGAACTACAGATTTGTTGTGTATTTCAGATCCCAAATTAAAAGATTTTAAACGTTTTTAAAAAGTATTTTATTTTTATTATTAATAATATTTAGCACTTAATGTCAGTATATAACTAATAGGTGAAACGTGATGGAAGCAGTTCAGTCCAGTTGTGTCATTTACATAGGATTTTCAGGTTTACTAAAGAACTTTACATTAATTTTCTCTTTTGATCCTTGTAAAAACTTTGGGAAATGGGTACTGCAGGTATCATCCCCATTTTACAGTTAAGGAAATTGAGACTCTAGTTACAAGAGTTGCTCACATGACCACATAACTATGTCAGAGTTAAAAGCTCTCAAACCACCCATCTGTATCCATAAAAATCCATAATCTGCAAGTCTATTAATACTGCAACTAAATCTAATTTGAATACACAGATTATTTGCCGGGTGCTGGGAGCTAGAGAGAGATTACTCTTCATATGCCTGGTAAATCCCAGAGCTCTCTCCTCTGAAAAAAAAAAAAAGGTAGCAAAACACAGGTACCCAGTTTTCTCCTCTCAATTTATGGACAATTTGCCACTGGTACTTAATTATAGAACTGGGGAGGGAGTACAAAGACAGATGCAAAACAGATACTTCTTTTCCCCTCTTGAAGATGGGGGTGGGGTGGGGTGGGGTGGGGTGGGGTGGGAGAAGAGAGACTTGAGCATTTTTATTTAAAGAAATTCCTTTTACCTATGTAGATATACAACTTCTGGGGACCTTAAAGTTTTAGACAATCGCATGGGGCCACTGAGAGGTCAAGTAAAAAAGTCTCTAAGCCAGTATGCTTCAGAAGCAGGTGTTGATTCCCAGTTCTTTCTGGTTCTGAGGCTAGCCCCCTATCCATTTAAGCAACCTATACACAAGTATATGTGATATGAGTGTGGTAACTTCAAAGCAGAGGGCCAGGTGAATGTCTGTAAGAAATTTCAGCAGGGCGATATCATCCTCAGGTGGGGGGAGGGAAGGATTTGGGAGACTTCCTGGTGTGTTCATTACTAATATGTATTATCCATGTGACTTTGGAAAAACTAAGTCTCTGTGCCTCAGTTTCTCTTCTGTAATATAAGAGACTTGGAACTGATGACATCTTAGGTTCCATACTTGATTGATTGATTCTGGATCTAAACTTATGATCCTTTGAATCAGGATCATAAGGAAGTGATGATTACAAATATGTAATGATTGGAGACTTCCTAACTTGGGGGACAAACAGTGCAAGCAAAGGAAAAATGGGAAGAGGACAGGACAGAGAATATTTTGTTTATGTAACTATACAAGTCCATAATCAAACATAAAATGATATGATTTTAACATTAACTAGATTATCTTGAGCTATGCAGAGGAAGTCTGAAAAGTAGGTTGGAGTGAGATTGAGAAGCACCTTGGATTCCAAGATCAAGAATTTATACTCTCGGAGAAAAAAAGAAACCAGAATGTTCTAAGTGCCTGCTATGTGACAGTCATCGTGCTAAGAGCTTTACAAATATTATCTTGTTTTGTAATAACAATAATAACTAGCATTTCTATAGCACTGTGTTCCAGTCACTGTGTTAAGCACTTTACAAATATTATCTCATTTGAATCTCACAACAACAACTCACAACAATTGTCCTCATTTTACAGGTAAGGAAACTGAGGCATTCAGAGGTTAAGTGACTTGCACAGGGTTACACAGCCAATGAGTGTCATTAAGATGAGCCATTGAAGGTTTCTAAGCCAGGAAGATAAGGTTGATAATGCAGCGCATTAGGTGTATCACTCATTAAGGGGTATGAAATTTTGTTATGAAAAAAATCTAAAACTCAGTGGAATGTTAGCTCCTTAAAGACAGTTTTCTTTTTATCTTTGTGCAACAAGGCATTGGAAACCTATTCACATATTAATCACTAGATTGCTGAACTTGAAGTTGGGAAGACCTAGGTTCAAATCCGCCAGCTGAATGAACTGAGGCAAGTCACTTAACCTCCCTTAGTCTGTTTTCTGCGAAATGAGGATAATATACTGGTATAGGGTTCTTGTGAGGATTAAAATGAGTTAAGTATGTAAATTGCTTTGTGAACTTTCAAGTATTATATAATGTAAACAATGATAAATAAGTCTCTGATCCTTCAATTTATTATTTTCTTCAAGGATTGATTCACAAAACCCCAAATTTAGATCTGGTATCAGTCACATAACAAATATGAGGTTTTGGAGGCCGTCGTCTGATCTCCTTATTTCACAGAAGAGTAAATGAAACTCCAAGAGGTAAATGAAACTTGCCCAAGGCTCATGTTGTGATGAATCCTTAAGAGACTCATAATCTTTCTCATATGGTAGCTGTAGAGCTCAGAAAAAAATGTATGAAATATTTTGCAGGTGTCGTAGTAGGTAGAGCTCTGAGTTGGGAGTCAGGAAGACCCGAGTTCAAATGTGGCCTCAGACACTTACCAGCTTTGCTACCCTGGGAAAGTAAATTTAATTAAACAAGCATTTCTTATGTGTCTACTATGAGTCAGGCACTTTGCTAAGCACTGGTGATACACATGCCATAAAGACAATTCATGCCATCAAGGTGCTTACAATCCAACAGGGGAAGACAAGATGAAAAAGGAAGGTGGAAAGAAGTGGAAGAGGTGGGAACACCAGGAAGGAATACCTGGCTTGAAGACCACCATGTTCCTTGGAGTCCAAACTAAGCAGAGTTGCAGATGGAAAGTGGAGAGTTAGCAGGAGAGTCCAGATTTAGTAAAGAAAGTCACTTAATCTATGCCTTGGTTTCCTTATCTGTAAAATGGTAGCATTTATGTCCTAGGATTGGTAAGAGGATCAAATGAGAGAATAATTGTAAAGCTCTTAGCACAGTGCCCAGCATATAGTAAATGTTATATAAATGTTAGCTATTATGACCATTGTTATTATTGTTATTATTATTAAATAATTGACAATTATTACTGTGCCAGTTGAGAGAAAAGAATGTTTACTAGCCTCTAATATTTAGAAATATATGTAGTCTGCCTAAATATCCCTACTAATTTTACAGATGCAAATAAAATTAACTTTAGGTGAATTCTTGATTACATATCATAGCAATTAATATTGATCCAAAAAGCAAACCCTTTGGGGCAAACCAATAATTCGCTATTGGATTTCATTGCTCCTGTGTCCCTTTGCCGCCTAACTTTGAGGCTTGCTACTGTCATGGTGAGTTTTCTCTCATCTTCCCAGCATCCAACAAATACTCTGTCTATGCAAATTAGATTTAGTTGCAGTATTAATGGGATTTCTGGTTATGGATGTTATATCTGCAGATGGGAAGTTGATAGACTTTCCTATCTTTTTAAAACTAAGAAGCGTCTCATTCTCTCAGCTTTCCAAGGGAGAGACCTCTTTCCTGTAAATTTTGCTCACCATACTCTTTGGGAACTCCTCAGTACATCATTTAGGTGAGCATTAGGAGAAGGGATGAAGCATGATGTAGGGCAGGGCAAGGGGAACCTGCGGGCCTCAAGGCCACATGTGGCCTTCTAGGTCCTCAAGTACGGCCCTTCACTGAAAGTTTGCCATCCCTGTAGGGGTACTGAGAAGGAGTCTTGCTTCTAGTCTCCATTCTGACCCCAACAAATTGATGTTGGAGAGTCACTTAATCTCTCTTGCTCTCAGTTTCATCATCTGTAAAATGAACTAACTAAACTAGACTCTGCCTTCTTAATGTTCCCTTCTAGCTCTATTATTTTATAATTATATAACTTGAACTCTGCTGTACAAATGTGAAACCTCTTCTCCCCCTTCAGCTATCCTCTTCCCCATTAAAGTAAAATCACCTGCATCAATTGTTCATTTTGTGTTTCTCTGAGATTATATATGTATATAAACATATATATACACACACAGACACACACATATATATATACATACACATATGCAGATATATACACATATATGTACACATGTACATGTATTTATATGTGTATATACGTATGTTTATATGTACATACATATATCAGAATAACTTGGAGATTATTCTTCTAATTTGTGTGTGTGTGTGTGTGTATAGACACACACATGTATTTGTTGTTTAGTCATTTCAGTTGTGTCTGACTCGTTGTGCCCCATTTGGAGTTTTCTTGACAAAGATATGGGAGTAGTTTGTCATTTCCTTCTCCAGCTCATTTTATAGATGAGAAAACTGAGGTAAACAGGGTTAAGTGACTTAACTGGCATCACAGTAAGTATCTGACCTAGTAAGTATCTGAGGTCAGATTTGAACTAAAGTCTTCCTTACTCCAAGC